TGGTTCTCTGTTGGAAGTAATGCTATTTTCCACAAAGCTTGGAGGCAAGAACCATGTAAGCTCCTATCCTGTGCAGCTCAAATGAGATGCTCTATGGGGGTGGCATTAGAATCCCTACCTTTCAGGGTTAACTTGATAGGACTTTCAGACTCTAGTTTCCCTCTACTTGACTCTAAGTCCCATGAGAGAGGCACCTTCTCTCTCTTCCCCATGGCTGAGTCACAACCCATGGCACATGACAGGTGCTCATAATTGTTTGGAAGGTGTGCTATGTGTGGTGGCTAATCCTAACATTTGAGGAGCCTAAGGCTGAAGGATCATGAGTTCAGAGTCAGTCTGGGCTTCATTGTAAGACCTCATCTCAAAAAAAAAAAAAAAAATTAAACTGGAGGGTGATAGGGAGTATGGGGGAGCAGTCGAAGACAGTGTGCAGGAGAGAGATAGTGGGCACTTGGGGGAACTGAGTACTAATCACCAGAGTAGAGTGCTTACTAGGATTGCTTGTCCTGAAGAAAATAGCTAGGAACACCTATTTTATGTCATTTATATTTATGGTTATATTTCCTTCATACCATCCCTTCTAGAATGGAAAACAGTTTGTTGTTGTTGTTGTTTTTATTTTTTGGTTGGCCGTGGGGCTTGAACTCTGGGCCTGGGTGCTGTCCCTCAGCTCTTCAGCTCAAGGCGAGCGCTCTACCACTTGAGCTACAGCGCCACATCTGGTTTTCTGGTGGTTTATTGGAGATAGGAGTCTCACGGTCTCTCCTGCCCAGGCTGGCTTTGAACCGCGATCCTCAGATCTCAGCCTCCTGAGTAGCTAGGATTACAGGCGTGAGCCACCATCGCCCGGCTGTTGTTGTTTTTAAAGGAAAGGTGTTTTAGATGGGCACTAGTGGTCCATACCTATAATCCTAGCTACTCAGGAGGCTGAGATCTGAGGATTGTGGTTCAAAGCTAGCCTGGGCAGAAACTCCCATCCTCCAAGACTCTAATCTCCAGTGCACAAGCAAAAAGCCAGAAGTGAAGGTGTGGCTCAAGTAGCAGAACACCACCCTTGAGTGAAAAAAGCTAAGGGAGAGCTTGAGAACCTGAGTGAAAGCATCAGTACTGCCAGTACTGGCATAAACAAGATAAAAAACTTAGAATTTAGAAAAGCAGTAAAAAGTTTCAAAGATTGGAGGTGAAAGGACTAGATTGTATATTGGGAACAGATTGTTCTGTCTACAGTGGCAAAAGTGGATTAAAGCAGAGCTAGAGTGAATGTACACACAGACTGGGAAGTGACTGTAAAGTTCACGGTAAAGAGAGTGATTCAGGCTAAAGTGGTGGTACTAAAGACAGAAGAAAATAGTGCAAAGGAGGTCAACTGGACAGAATTGGGAAGTGGCTGGTTAGAGGGTGGAGAGGAACAGAAAAGATAACCTTCCACGTTTCTTTTTGTTGTTGTTGTTGGTCATGGGGCTTGAACTCTGGGCCTGGGTGCTGTCCCTCAGCTCTTCAGCTCCAGGCTAGTGCTCTACCACTTAAGCCACAGTGCCACTTCCAGTTTTTCTGGTGATTTATTGGAGATAAGTCTCACGGACTTTCCTGCCCAGGCTGGCTTTGAACTGTGATCCTCAGATCTCAGCCTCCTGAGTAGCTAGGATTACAGGCATGAGCCACCAGTGCCTGGCTCAAGTTTCTTTTCTTTTGTGCTGGTCCTGGGGCTTGAACTCAGGACCTGGGCCCTGCCCCTTAGCTTTTCTGCTCAAGACTGGTACTCTAGCACTTGAGCCACAGCTTCACTTCTGGCTTTTTGGTGGTTAATTGGAGGTAAGAGTCTGATGGACTTTGCTATAAAAGTTGGCTTTAAATCTAGACCCTCAGATCTTAGCCTCCTAAGTGGCTTCCTCCCAGTTTTGACTTGGGAGAATAAGAGTGATTAATGAGGTATCCACTGATACAGGGACTGGTACCCATAACCATAGATATGACACTGCAAGAGGAGAGGCTATGCTCAGACCAGTACTCACATAGCTCCCTTCTATCTGAAATTACTCCTTTGGGTGACCTTTGGAGGCCTTCAGCCATGATTTGAATAAAATTGTTCCCATATTTTAATAGAGTCTCTAGACTACTCTACTTTCCTTATAATCACTTGAAATGTTTATTAATAATTCAGATTGGGGACCCTTACATATACCTCCCATGTCAGAATCCCTGTAGCAGACCCAGAAAACAAGTTTTTAAGAATCTAAATCTGATGCTACTGGAAGTGACGCTGTGGCTCAAGTGGTAGAGCACTAGCCTTGAGCTGAAGAGCTGAGGGACAGCGCCCAGGCCCAGAGTTCAGGCCCCATGACCAGACCCAAAAACAAAAAACAAAAAAAAAAAAAAAATCTGATGCTACTGTGGGCAGTCCACAATCACCTCCCATTATTTTCTACTCAGCTTCACTTTTTTTCTGGGTTCCTCCAGCATACACCCTTCTCAGGCAGTAATGATGAGACCATGTGGGTGGTGTTCTAAATTCCAACCACATATTTTCTTGAGTCTTAGAGTTTAAGAAGTCTTAGCTGGGTGCCAGTGGCTTAGACCTATAATTCTACTTACAGAGGAGGCTGAGATCTGAGGATCTCAGTTTGAAGCCAGTCCAGACAGACACAAAAAGCTAAGCAAGAACATGAGTTCAGGCCCTACTGTTGGCAAAAAAAAAAAAAACCCAAAAATCAAAACAGCAACAGGTAGTTACAGAGAATCACAACCTACCAAACGTAGATCAGGACTAGGAACTTCTATGGAAACCAATAACCAGGTTAGAAAGCTTAAAACTGTGAGTGACAAGTCGCTGGAGGCCCAGTGTAGATGGAATTTAAGAGTTAAAAACTCCAAGATGCCTTTTACTTAAGGGGGTCTTCACACTTTATGAATTTTATCTCTAGAAGCTTTATCAGTTTCATTCCCCTCAAGCACCCTGGCATCAGGGGAGGATAAGACAGAGCTTTCAACAAGGCCTGAGCTCAGGAAAAACTAATTCTAATTCAGGTTGTTAAATGAGTCTAAATGAGCTGAATGAGTCGCTAAATGAGTCTAAATAAGCCAAAAAAGGAACTATTCAGCTCCTGCTACTTTCCTGAGGGATAGAAGAGGTGACAAAGGAGGACTGGAATGAACAGGGACTGAGAAATACTTAATAAAGTCACAGGTCCGTAAGTGGAGCTGTGGCTCAAAGTGGTAGAGTGCTAGCCTTGAACAAAAGAGCTCAGGAACAAAGCCTAGGCCCTGAGTTCAAGCCCCACAACTTTCAGGAAAAAAATAATAATAAAGTCTTTTGGGGCTGGGAAGTTGGCTCAGTGGTAGAGTGCTTGCCTTGCATGCATAAGGCCCTGGGTTCGATTCCTCAGCACCACATAAGCAAAAAAAAAAGCCAGAAGTGGTGCTGTGGCTCAAGTGGTAGAGCGCCAGCCTTGAGCTGAAGAGCTGAGGGACAGCACCCAGGCCCAGAGTTCAGGCCCCATGACCGGCAAAAAAAAAAAAAAAAAGAAAGTCACAGGTCCCAAAACAGGCTCTAAAAACCTAAGTGGGAACCAGTGGCTCAAGTCTATAATCCCAGCTACTCAGGAGGCTGAGATCAGAGGAGGTTCAAGCAAGCCTAGACAATTTTTGGGGGGGGGAGGGAGGTCCAGTCGTGGGGCCTGAATTCTGGGCCTGGACGCTGTCCCTCAGCTCTTCAGCTCAAGGCTAGCACTCTACCACTTGAGCCACAGCGCCAATTCCGGCTTTTTTTTTCTGCTTATGTGGTGCTGAGGAATCGAACCCAGGGCCTCAAGCATGCAAGGCAAGCACTCTACCACTGAGCTACCTTCCCAGCACCTAGACAATTTTTTTTTTCTCCAATTAACCAGCAAAAAAGCCAGAATTGGGTCCCTAAGTTCAAACTCAATAGAAATAAATAATAGTATAAAAATTACATAGGTCAGAACTCAGATTTACATAAAGTATTAGGAGTATTAGAAAATGAATAAATGAAGAAAAATGTAAAGCCTAGAATTGTCTAATCGGTAGTACTTTTCTGTTTTTGTAGTGCTAAGGTCTTATACATGCTAGGTAGGTGCTCTACCACTGCACCACACCCCCAACACTTTGTGCCTATGTATTCCAGGGCAGTTAAGTATGTGTGGATAAGCTAAGACTTACCAGGGGATGGAGACAAGAGCATGTGTTATTACCTAGGAATGGAAGAAAGGACTGAAAGAACGGCAGTCTCCCTAAATGCTTGTAAAGTGATTGGGACAGGTAACTAACTCGACAAAGGAGAGTACACTGCGTGCCAGGTTCGATACTTAATGGAAATTAGGAGAGGCACCAGGAAGGATGACAAGAACACAGACAAGTAAAAAGAGTCAACTCAGTAAGTGGGGGATGACTAAGTGCACAACAGAAATTCGAAAAAGAAAAGCTTCAAAGTTTCAACTACGCAGAGAAGTGTAACAGAGAAAAGCACAGATCAATTACCTCTAATCCTAGAAAACGGCAGTGAACAATTCGCTTCTTTTCAAACTCTGAGGTTTTGTTTCCTGGCGTGTTTAATGAGTCGTCGGTGCTGAGGGGGAACCCAGGGCCTTAGGCACACTAGGCCGGCGCTCTCACCTGGCAGCGGCAACCCGGCCGCGCTCTTGTTTTTAGAAGGCGAGCACCACCTTCCGTCTTGTGGCTGTAACACCCAGAGGCGGCTTTAAGGAACCATGTTTGAGTAGGTTAAGACGACAGACAGGGGAGGTAGCACGATCCTCGCTTCACAAAGCCAGAAGACACGAAGAAGTGACTCGCCTTCTCTAAAAGGTCGGCGGAGCAAGGCAGAAGCTGACTGGGCCCGAAGCGCGGCTTCTAAGGCCGCAGCAGCCAAGCGCAGTACCCGGCAATAACCCCGTGCGCCAAGGCCTTGGACTGACGTCACAGCCCCAGACTTCCCCCATTGGTCCTCTCTTACCGTCTCTTTCCGGGGCAAGGGAAAGTGCCAACCGATCCGGAAGTGAGGTGCTCGGGGCGCCAACACCGCGGCGGGGTTGAAAGCGTAGCCATCTGTGGTGTCGGAGTCGACCGGCTCTTTCCTTCAAGTTCCACCCCAGGCAAGAAGTCTCCAGAATCCTGGTGGCCTACAGGACACAGGTCAGCCAGGTCGCTAAGTAGCCAGTGCCTACCAAAGACCGGAGCCACAACGGGCCGCCGGAAGCTTTTCTGTGAGAGGGGTCCGGAAGTAGGAGGCACGGCCCGGGGAAGGATCCCGCGGGCCATGGACCCGCCTCCCGGGGCCGGGCCGGCCTCCCTGCGCTTGGCAGCCGCCGCCAGCTGGCAAGTTGTACGCCGACGCTGTGTGGAGCATTTTCCGCGAGTCCTGGAGTTTCTGCACTCGCTTCGCGCTGCCGCTCCGGGCTTGGTTCTCTACCGGCATCATGAACGCCTGTGTCTGGGACTAAAGGCCAAGGTATTGGATGGAGCGAGTTAGGACCTGGAAAGGGGTGGGGTGCGAGGACCTGGGAATGGGACGACAGGTTGGGAGTAGGACTAGTTGGAAAAGGGTTGTTAGTCTCTTAAATTGGGGATTCTGAGCTCAGTACTATACAGATGGTGGTGGAGCTGATCCTGCAGGGCCGGCCTTGGGCTCACGTCCTGAACGTCCTGAATCACCACTTTGCACAGTCTGGACCTAGAGTGCGGGACCCTAAAGCTGTGAGTAAACCCTGAACAATCCCTAACCGCAGGTACCCTAACTGCACTAGTTACCCCTCCTCTCGACTGCTAGATCTTGATTCTGCCATCTCTTGCCATCCATATCCTCGACAGACAAAACAAGATCTGAGAAAGATTTCGGAGGCACAAGAAACTTTTTGCCAGCAGGTGAAACAGCTCTCAGAGGACTCCGTGGATTTGGCCGCCAACCTGCAGGTGAGACTGGCTAATTGGAAGCTGTTTTATGACTCAATTTTCCTTATTCCTCTTTTTGCATGCCTTTTTCTCCCTCTGCAGGAACTTGAACAAGAGTATGGAGAACCTTTTCTTGCTGCCATGGAAAAGCTGTTTTTCGAATACCTGTGTCAGCTAGAAAAAGCACTGCCTACATTGCAGGCAGAGAAGGTTTGCTGGGGCAGAGTACTTATGGTATTAAGTATGAGCAGTGGTATCCAGGACTGTGGTCTTCATACCTGTTTCCCTGCCCACAGCTCCAAGATGTGCTGAATTGGTTGCAGCCTGGAATTTCTGTGACCTCTTCTCTTACCCTGAGGCAGTATGGTATGGACATGGAGTGGCCACTTCCAGGTATATAAGGGATAACTAGGAATTTGGGAGGCAGGGTCTGACCTAACAACATTTCTGTGTGTGCGTGTGTGTGTACATGTGTACACGCACGCATGCCAGTAGAGCTTGAACTCAAGGCCTGGGTCTTGGCCCTGAGCTTTTTTGCTCAAGGATAGCACTCTACCACTTGAGCCACAGCTCCTATTTTTGATTTTTCATGGTTAATTGGAGATAAGAGTCTTAGGGACTTTCCTTCCCTGTGTTGGCCCCAGTGGTTTATACCTGTAATCCTAACTATTCAAGGCTGGCCTTAAGCAAAAGAGCTAAGCAAAGCCGGGCGCCGGTGGGTCATGCCTGTAATCCTAGCTGCTCAGGAGGCTGAGATCTGAGGATTGCAGTTCAAAGCCAGCCCAGGCAGGAAAGTCCGTAAGACTATTATCTCTAATAAAACCACTTGAAAACCAGAAGTGGCACTGTGGCTCAAGTGGTAGAGCGCTCACCTTGAGCTGAAGAGCTGAGAGACAGAGCCCAAGCCCAGAGTTCAAGCCCCATGACCGACAAAAACAAACAAACAAACAAAACGAAGCAACAGTGCCCAGACAAAGTTCAAGCCCCAGTACTAACACAAAACAAGTTAAGAGAGCTTGAGGCATATTTTTTGAGCCTTATTTTCCTGGGTGCTGGTTGCTCATACCTACAATTCTAGCTACTCAGAATTCTAAGCTAGGAGGATCGAGGTTCAAAGCCAGCCTGGGTAGACAAATCCAAGAGACTTTTTTCTCCAGTTAACTAGCAGAAAGTGGGAGGTAGAAGTATGGGGCTCAAGTGGCAGCAGATGAGCAGTTAAAAAAAAAAAAAAAAAAGTAGCCTCACTTTCTTTTTCAGAAAACTCTGACTTAGTGAAGCTGACAGAGTCTGTGAAACAGACTCCTCCTCCACATCCCAAAGGAGTCCTCTACAGTCCTCTGCCAAAAGCTAAGCCTAGCCCCCAAGGACCAGCCTCAAGAAAGCATCCAGAACTCTTATCAGGCCACCACTTCAATCTGGCCCCTCTAGGCCAGCGAAGAACCCACTCCCAATGGACATCTGCAAAGGGAGGGCACAAAGAGCGCCCCACGGTCATGTTGTTCCCCTTTAGGAATCTGAGCTCATCAACCCAGGTTACATCGAAGTCTGAAAGCAGAGAAGAACAAGGGATACACACTGGAAACACAGCAGATTCTGGGGGCACACGAGCAGCCTCCACTGGGAAGTCTAAGAATCCATCTCAGAGCCTAGGGGGAAAGGCTTTGGAGGAGAACTCATCAGACTTGTCTGCTGCAGAACAAAAGGCGTGAGTGGAAGAGTTGTTTTTCCCTCCCAGGAGCTCATTCTTTTACCTGTTTCCCCTTTACCCTATCGTTTTGTTGCTTCTACCTCAGGAATTTCTTGGATTGCTACATGGATCCCCTGAGACTGTCATTATCACCTCCTAGGGCCAAGAAACGAGGTAGGTGGACTAAACCAGGATTGGCTCCAACAGCCTTTTGTCTTGGGGACTTTTCAGGGCCTGAATTTACCTAGAGTAGTTTGATTCTGCTTTCTTTCCTGCAGTGTGCTCTCCATCTCTGTGCAGCTCAGTCATTACCATAGGGGATTTGGTTTTGGACTCTGATGAGGAAGGAAATAGTCAAAGAGAAGGAAAGGTGAGTAAGAAGGGAAAAAGGTGGGTTGAACAAGACAAATCCACTCCTCCAGGTTAGAGAGGGGTTCAGGGAGTGGTTTCTGATGATAGGCTCTCACTGCTCCCTTCTCTGCAGGAGTCTCTGGGAAGCTATCAGAAGACAAAGTCTGACACCTTGATCCCTACGTTCTGTGAATATCTTCCCATTTCTGGCCCCAATAGCCTGCTTGCTCCTTCCCATGACTGCATAGACAGCTCTAGCCTTCTATGATAGCACTGGAATGTCCTCTACACCTGCCCATCTGCCTCTGCAGTTCTGTAGGCAGCTTAGTGACTGAAATGGAAGCCCAGGCTTGAGTTGCCTGGCTTCATTGCTCACAACTGTAATTCTTGATATTTCAACTTATTATAATATTGTCTTGATGTAAAGGAGGGAAATTAAGTCTCCTATAGGTCAGCAGTCATTCCTTATAACAGAACTGGCCCCTCTAGAGCTGGAAGAAGCCCTTTGCCTTTCTACTTCCTTTGGAAAGTGTTACTCATTTCTGCCTAGGATGGTTACTGGGCTTGAAAATATGGAAATTATCCTTGCACTATTCTGAAAATAGCCTAATGCCAGAATATGCTGTGTAAATTCTCTCACTGCCACGTTACTTGGGGTGGTGGTGTTACAATGGAATAATTCGTGTTAATAATACTCAAGTATCCATCCTCTGGGTCAGTGTGAATCCTTCCTTTGCCCACCCTGAAACAGCACCCAGATGCCAGCATTGTGCAGAAAGCCCTAGCATCTCTCTACAGCCAATGGGATCTCTTTTTTTACTGAGTTATTTCAAAAACATAAATACTTCTAAGCTTTTCAGATATTTGAAGATCTCATTTAATGAAAATGATTAAGAAGACATGATTACAAAAGCCTGCCTTTTCCAGACCAAGGCCATGTTAAAGCATTTCTATATCAATTAGTATCTTTTTTTCTCTTAATAATCTTCAAGATGCTGAGTCTCTTGATTCCCATTTGATTGTCTTTATTTTCTGATTGTTTTCTTTCTTCCCAGTGGGTGTGTATGCAGAGAAATATAGCATTAATGCAGGAGCCTGCAGGAATTGAGCTGATAGGAACTAATAAAGTAATACACTACCATACTAGTTGGAATGGGTAACAAGCCCAACTTGGAGGGCCATGTGGTAGAGTGCTGCTGTCCTGAGAGAGCAGGACTGCTTGGCTCTAGTGTGTGTCACCGAAGATTGGATTCACCTGCTGGGTGACTCGGATGAAGGTCGTTCTCCGGCTCAACTCTTTAAGCTTAGCTGCTCCCACATAGGTACATGTAGACCGGATCCCTCCTAGGATGTCACGGATAGTATATTCTACGTCCCCTTTAAAGGGAACTTCCACTGTCTTTCCCTCTGAGGCCCTTTGGAATAGGAAAAAAATGTTATTACCTTCTCTTCTTTAAGCTTGTCCCAACTCTAGCATTTAGCCTCCCTCTGTCATTTTTTTTTCCTGAGCATTCTACTGTTCATTTCCTAGTACCCATGAAACCACATCTGCTAGATAGCTTTGCCAGAACCCTCAGCTGCCCAGCCTCCACACATACCTGTACTCAGCCACGCCACCGGCATACTTCTTCATGGCCATTTCAGAACTCATTCCATAGAAGAGCTTGTACTTCTTACCATCCCTCTCAATGAGCTCACCTCCTGACTCACTGTGTCCAGCCAGCATGCCACCCAGCATCACAAAGTCAGCACCTGCCCCTGCCAAAACCAAAGAGGTGAGAAAGATGTAGGTGGCCAAGGTGCCCACATGGCCACCCATAAAAGCAATTCATGCCAAATCTTCAGTGCTGACAACTTGAACATCTTCTCAGTTCTGTGTGCCCAGCTGACCCACGATGCACACAGGCCTGCTTTGCCTTGGTTTCTACTTCCCAGTGTGTGTGTTTTCTTCAGTATCAGGGCTTGAACTCAGGACCTTGTGCTTTCTTGCTCTGTAAGAGCTATGCTTCTAGCCCTGCTTTTTTGTTGGTTTATCTTAGAGACAGAATCTTAGAGGCTTTTCTGCCAGGGCTGGGTTTGAACCTCAATCCTGTAGGTCACAAGTCTCCTGAATAGCTAGGGTTACAGGCATGATCCACTGGCTGGCTTGTCAAGATTTTGAAAAGCCTCTGGAGCTCTGTGACCAAGCTACTGTTTCCCTTTTCCTGCCAGTGTTATCCTTTGGTCATACTATTTTACTGCTCCCAGCAGTGTGATTTTTACCTGACCCAAGAGCAGAGGTCTCCCACTTAATGTAAGGATCACTTGGGAAACTAAGGAAAGGGGGGAAAAATATTTGCAGCCCTGTCCCTTGGAGGCTGGTTTTGTAGGCCCGCTGTGGGGCTCAGGAATCTACATTGCCCAACAGTCTAGGGGATAGTGTAGATGGCCCTTGCTCACACTTGGAAAATTAAAATCAGTCTCTCCAAGTTTCCTCTTCTGGCTTGCCCCAGGTGATACCATACGCATTGGGAGACTAGTTCATATTAGTGATACCATACGCATTGGGAGACTAGTTCATATTAGGAAAGAATCTCAGTGGCTTCTTGAGCTTCTCTGGCCTGATCCTAGACACTCAGAGGTAACTCATCCTTTTCTACAGGATTCAGCTTCTGGGTCCTCCTAACCTCTTTACAAACCTTACCAAAAGCCTTGGCCACATCCCCAGGGCAGCTGCAGCCTCCATCCTACAAAGTAAGGAGCACTGTGAAGACACAACACGGACTTCCCAAACCCTCTCAGTGACTTCCCACCAACCCACCTCAAAGTGGACGAAGCCACATCAGAAAGCTCCTGTTTGGCAGACTCATATCCTGCCAGCCCTTGAGACTTACTGAAATGATGTGGCCTTTGAGGCCATGTGCAGCGTCCGCACATTCCATCACTGCACTGAGCTGTGGATACCCTACTCCCGTTTTCTTCCGGGTTGTACACACAGAACCTGTGGGTACAACGGTGGAAGTGAAGTGTTCCATGGATGCTTGCCACTGATGGGATAGCCAGTGGTCCTGATGAACCAACTTACCTGGTCCAATTCCCACTTTGATGATGTCAGCCCCAGAGAGGATTAGCTCTTCCACCATCTCTCCTGTTACCACATTCCCTGCCTGAGAGACAGCAAAATAGAGCATCCTTAGGATCAAGAATGGAGAGGAGTTTTCATGCTCATTATAGCATACCTAGACTATATTACCTGCTAGTGTTATTTCAAGCATACTGTGGTGCCTTCTACTAGGCCCTCGGAGGGCTTCTATACTAGCTATTTAAAAGGATACCATTTCCCACTCATTCCCACAGTCCTTTGAAAGGTAAGGTGAAAAATGGCCAGTGTCACTGTTTAACTAGGGTAAAGCTGAGGTCCAGGACACAATTTATAGCCTCAGGCAACAAAGCAGATCATCAGGAAGACAGGAGGTGGTTTGGAGGAGCATTCAGGGAAGCAAAGAAAACTTTAAAACCAAGCTCAGATCTGACTTAGCCAGGGGGTTCCAATATAGCCAGTCCTAAAGCTCTATGGCTGGCTTTAGAGAAAGGGAGAAGACGGAAATATAGGCTAAACACCTGCTCTGCCCAGATGCACTTGTTCTTGAGGGGCAGCACAAACATCCTTTTCAAATTAATAAGGACTTATTTCCTTAAGCTTCTTTAAAAATAAAACATCTCCTGTAATACTTCGGGTTTTGTTTTCATGTGACACTTTTTATATGACTAGAACAGTTCCATTTCTGTGTGCAGATGTGATTTGTAACACAAGTATGTACAATGCATAAATGTTTGATCATAGTTTTATGAGTGATGTCAGGGACTCTGGATTTGTAGGGTCAGAGACAATGAACTTATTTGCAGCTTAGAACCATGAGTGATCACCCAGTTACATCATGTGGACTAGGAATATCAGTACAATAGAGGAGAAATGAGCTGATACGACAAAATGGAGAGTCAACAAGGAGCGAGAAAGGAATGTAAAAACTACAGGCTAACAAACATACCATGATGGTGTGTTGGGGGAAGTGCTTCCGTACGTCCTTTACAAATTCAACAAAATGTTCAGAATAGCCATTTGCTACATCCAAGCAAATATATTTCACCTGGGGAATAGCTTCTAGGATCTGTTCCAGCTGCTCAAAATCAGAAGAGCCTGTGCCTGAGCTGGCAGCCAGATACTGTGGGAGAAACAGGACTATTGACATGAGAGCATTAGATCAACCTGTAGTTAACCAAAGATCTAATAAGCAGTCAGCAAGCATTAAAGATGAGGGTTGATCTCCAGTAAACCCCCCCCCTCTGAAAAAAGTTTCCTAGAAAACTCAGATAAGAAAGGATCGGGGCAGATCCAGTAATACCTCAAGGCAGTCAGGATTCTTGCTAGCAAAGTCTTGCCACTGATCAAGGCTGTAGTGCTTATGGACAGCAGTGAAGAGGGAAAACTGGGGAGAAGAAAAAAAAAAACATAAAAAAAGAAACCCCTACTAGGTTCCTTTCTTGAAAGAGACCTTTATACTATTCTAATAAAGAAAATGACTGGGATTTGAAAGGAAACCAACTTTTAAGAAGTTCATGGTTGAGCAGAGATTTGAGTTGAACCATTACTCTCCCTACAAATCCCAGCACAGCTTTTTTACCAAAAGCTAGTACTGGTCAAATATTCCTACTCAGGTACTCTGTTAACAGGATTGTATTTTTCCTGCCAGCACATATCTACAAGGTGATAAGGACATGCTGTTGGTAAAGTGGAGATAGTGGGACAAGTAGTGGCCAACCATGAAGAGAATATGGAGTCAGTGATTCACTTAATCCTCCCTCTTAAGGTAACAAAGTATTAATATGTTTCTGGTCTTTTCTGGCTCATTTGTAAGCAGTAATTCAGTCTGCTTAGATTCCCACAAAAGATAAGTAGCCAAAGAGCTATCACATCCTTGCTCCATTCTCACTGGATGAAAGAACAAGTGTTCATGTTGGGTGATAGATATATGTCAAAAGCATATGAAAATATTTTGCATACATAATTTTTACAAGTTTTTTGTATGCAAATGTATCCAAAAGTACAAAATTTCATTCAACCAAGCTGAAAGATAATGATGACTTGGCAGGCTCATAATCCAACTGCACAACTTGCAAGCAATATTACAATACTTGAAAAAGGTATTTAAAAGCCACTCTGAATGTTTATGTTATTCTAAGGTGCAAACATGCAAATATGAGATAGCAGTTGGCTGAGACAACACAAATCTTTTGGCTGACAAAAAACCCAGTCACGTATCTGTAGCAACTAGACACTCAGTTTATCATTAACACTGTAGCTAAAACTGGTACTAAATTCTGCTTTCTTAATAACATTCTACTGTGAAGATGTTGATAAAGGAAGTTGCTCTAGGACGTCAACAGAACTGGGAGATACACAGGTATAATGTGTCATGATAAACATCTAGTACAAACCAAGCCTTAAAAAATCATTTATGAGCCGGGCACTAGTGGATCATGCCTGTAATCCTAGCTACTCAGGAGGCTGCGATCTGAGGATCACCGTTCAAAGCCAGCCTGGGCAGGAAAGTTCGAGACTCTTATCTCCAATTAACCACCAGAAAACCGGAAGTGGCACTGGGCTCAAGTGGTAGAGCATTCGCCTTGAGCTGTAGAGCTCAAGGACAGTGCCCAGGCCCAAAGTTCAAGCCCCACAACTGAGCAAAAAACAAAAACAAAAACACCAACAACTCATTTGTGGGGCTAGGAATATGGCTTATTGGTAGAGTGATTGCTAGCATGCATGAAGCCCTGGGTTCAATTCCTCAGTTCTACATACACAAAAAACCGGAAGTGGTGCTGTGGTTGAAGTGGTAGAGTGCTTGAGCAAAAAGCTTGGGAACAGTGCTCAGGCCCTAAATTCAAGCCCCAGGACTGGCAAAAAAAAAAAAAAAAAAAAAACCATTGTGTCAGGTGCCAGTGGCTCATGCCTGTGACCCTAGCTACTGAGGAGGCTAAGGATTTGAGGATCACAGTTCAAAGCCAGCTTGGGCAGAAAAGTCCCCATGAGATTCTTATCTCCAGTAAACTATTCAAAAAAGCTGGAAGTAGCAATGTGGCTCAAGTGCTAGAGCCCAGCCTTCAGCACAAAGAGGCTCAGGGATAGCACCCAGGCCCTGAGTTCAAGCCCCATGACTGACCAAAAAACATAAAAATACTCCAGGCCTGGTTGCTATCCCTGAGCTTTTTCCACTCAAGGCTGTCACTCTACCACTTGAGCCACAGTTCCACTTACAGCTTTTTGTTGGATAACTGGAGATAAGAATCTCAAACTTGGGGCTGGGAAGGTGGCTCAGTGGTAGAGCACTTGCCTTGCATGCATGAGGCCCTGGGTTCAATTCCTCAGCACCACATAAGAAAAAAGAAAAAAGCCGGAAGTGGCACTGAGGCTCAAGTGGTAGAGCACTAGCCTTGAGCTGAAGAGCTGAGGGACAGAGCCCAGGCCCAGAGTTCAGGCCCCACGACTGGACCGCCCACCCCCCCAAAAAAAAAAGAATCTCAAACTTTCCTGCCTAAGCTGGCTTTGAACCACAATCCTCAAATTTCAGCCTCTTGAGTAGCTAGGACTGCAGTGTGAGCTACCAGTGCCCAGCTAAAAATCTGATGTCTTTAGCATTCATCCAAATTATAGCAAGTCAGTCCCTAATACAGCTCATGTAATATAGCCATGTCTACTAACCTAATAGATTAACTATTCTTCAAGTCTACTGGTCAGGGTAGACTGACAATGGGCAAAAGGATTCCTAAGCAGTTAGTAAAGAGGAATAGGAATAAAGTAATAAAACTGTGTAACTATCAGCCTCAGAGAAATGGTGACAAACATTCCACAAAGACACAACAATCAAAATTAGGTAGGGAGATTAAGTCCATAAGGTAAACAAAGCTACAAATAACAACAGAATTCAACTAATGCTTCACAGATTAACCAGCAGAGTGTGTATATTGTCAAAAGTGCCCACGTAACTATCTACCTTCTCAGCTACAAGCATAGAGGCAGGTAATATTACTGACAGGAGCAGTGTCTTCCATTTTCAAAGTGAACAACCTGTATGTAAGAAAAACATATTCCATTGGGGCCATGTCCCAGAAACTATCAGCAACCTAGGACTTAAAGAAGAGGAAGATTTTTTTCAAAAGAATAGCAGGCATTTGTATGTCCCTCCCCCATGGTATAACCCCTGCTTTCACTATATATGATGTTGGTATATGTGGAGGGGAAGGGAAAAAACAAATTGTTAAAACAGGGGTACAGGAGGACCCATTGCAACAATGAGATGTACAAGTCGTTATGTCGAAAAATGAACTTTACAACTTTGGTGGGGGGGGGGCGGAGGAGGGGGAAGGATACGAAGGGAAGGGGAAACAAAGCAGGAGGTTACAATGCTTGATAAGAAATGTGCTCATTATCTTACCCATGTAATTGTAACCCCTCTGTACAGTATTTTCACAATAAAAATATATTTTAAAAAAGAAGAAGAAAGAAAGAATAGCAGGCATGCTGGGCCCTGGTGGCTTACATCTGTAATCCAAGCTACTCAGGAGGCTGAAATCTGAGGATGGAGATTCCAAGCAAGCTCAAGCAGAAAAGTCCTTGAGACACTTATTTCCAATTAACCTCTCAAAAACCGGAAGTGGCACTGTGGCTCAAAATGGTAGAGTGCTATCTTTGAGCAAAACAAGCTCGAGAACAGTGCCCAGGCCCTAAATTCAAGCCCTACGACCAAAAAAAAACAAAACAAAACAACAACAACAAAAGAATAGCAGGCATAAAAATGAGTAAGCTGCTTCTCTAGGAAATGCTAGTTAGGAATTGAGAGCTCAAACTGGATTTAGTTTCTAGACCAAAACAGTGAATGCTTACTGCTGCACACATGATGTGACTGAGGGATAAATATAGTTGGGAAAGGATAGCCTAAGAAATGGGAAAAGTTGGTGAGGTGTATAAATTAGGGGAAATAAAAGTTCTGTTCATATATCAGAAAAATGGGACAAAAAGTAACTTTGAATCTCATTAATTCAGATGGCCCTTTTTCTTTTTCTGTGTGTAGGGGCTGTTCTGGAGTCTGAATTCAGTGTCTCAAACTTGTTAAGCAAGCACTCTACCTGCTGAGCCACACCTCTAGCCCTGTTTTGCTTTAGCTTTTTTTTTTTTATAGAGTCTAGCATTTTTGCCCAGGGCCAGAGTGCAATCCTCCAACCTATGTCTCCTAGTAGCTAAGATGACAGACTAGCCCCAGCATGCCCAGCTTGTCTGTTGAGATGGGCTCTTGCTAACATTTTTGCCAAGGCTGCCCTCACACTCCCCATTCCAAACTACCACATATATGGAATTACAGGCATCACACCCCACCGTCAGATGGCCCTTTGAACAGATAGGGTAAAAGGGGCCTTAGTACCAGAGAAATGGTACATCCAAGAATTCTAACTGCTAACTGTCAGAGAGCTAATGCCTCTGAAACCAGTTAGCCTAATCTAACATTAGGTAAGTAGCATACAAGAAATCCCACCTTAGAGAGAGCCTTTGCCATCTCAAAGGTGCCCACAGTATCCATATTGGCAGCAATAACGGGTACACCAGTGTACGTCTGCTTTGAGTTCCGAAATGAAAAGGATCTTGTGAGATCCACCTGCAAATAGAAACAGGAAACTGATCGTTTCATTCATCACATGAGAACAGAACAAAGCAGCTTTTTTTGGTCCTGGCCCACCAGGTGCTTGTGCAAAAGAGAGCAAGAAGAGAAGCAGGCTCACCTCACTTCGAGATTTAAGGGTGCTTCGTTTTGGCCTCAACAGGACATCCTTGAAGTCTAGCTTCACATCATTGTCGATATGAGGCATGGCAGGGTCTAAAGAAACCACGGATCTAAGGACTGGAAGACAAAAAGTGAGAAAGAACCAAATCCCAAATCCATCCCCCTAGGACCTCAACATCCTGATGATGCACGGAAGGGTCTATCGCTCCTCGCTTAAGTTATGGAAGTTTGTTATACAGGTCAAACTCGTGGTTGGGACCGTCCTGTGGAGATTTCTCTCGATTCCTTTTAAACTGATTAAAGAGAACTGGGAAAGAGTTGTGGGTGATTCTGACGGTGCATTGCTTATCCCACTATTCTTTCTTCCCATATCCCAGCAAAAAGTAATTTGGAGTAAGGACTGACTGTGAGAGAAGGAACCCGGAGGTCTCGATCAGCTTCCGGCCTAGGGATACTTACTTCCTGTAGGCTCGGCCGAGGTGGCAGTTGACCAAAGGTACCTTTGCTTAGCAACTAGTGTCCTACAGCCTTGCTAAACCTAGCGGGCAACGCCAACAGGTTCCGCTAATTGCCGGCTAAAACCAACCGGAATTTCGCCTTCTGCAGGACCACGTTGTGGTCTTCTGGGAAACAGAGTTCACTTACTGAGATTTGTCGTTGAATCCCAGCGGCGGCGAACTACAACTCCCAAGATGCCAGAGGCGGAATGCCGCCGAGCATGACGGGAAAAACATCCCCCTCTCCGCCCCACTTGCTTTCCACTAACTTTGGCTCGTTAGGAAACGGTCAAAAATCTTAGACACATCATCGCTGCTGTGACTAAAGTGGCTGTCTCTTTCTTGTCTACAACACCACTAAAAGGAAACCCAGGAGTCATCTCTGAATCTTTCGGGAACCCGATGGGAAGACGGGAGGGTGGAACCAGAGAGTGACCCGGAAGTAGAAGTGACTCTTGTGGGCGGAGTGCTGGGAAGGGGCAGCGGCCACCGCAGCGGGAGAAGCAGCAATTTATCCACTTGCAGCCCCAGCCTGGGAAGAAGATGCTAATTAAAGTAAAGGTGGGAGCATTTCCAAGCTTGCTAAGACTCAGTGGTACTGAGAAACCCTCTGCGCCTTAGGAGAGAAAGCGGGGAAAGAAAACCATGCCTTTCCCGAGCCTGGATGTCGCTGACACCCTCCGGACGCCGCGCGAGGCGTGATGGGAAATAGGGGGACCCTGGAGAGCTTTTGAGAGCTGGGAGCTAGCTCCACCAGAGCGTTCCGGGGTCGTTTATCTTCCCTGCCTTCTTGCCTGGACTGCCTTACCCCACGACGGGACTGCTTTTGTCCGGAGTCTCAGTATTTGAACCTCTGTAGGGGCTGGGGGCGTAACTCTGTGGTGGAGCACTTGTCTACCATGCACAAGGCCTTGGGTTTCTACCCTAGCATCTCAGAAGGGTAACTGGGGGCCTTTCAAGAGGGGATATTCCTTGGGGCTGGGAAGGTGGCTCAGTGGTAGAGCGCTTGCCTTGAGCTGAAGAGCTGAGGGACAGCGCCCAGGCCCAGAGTTCAGGCCCCACGACCGGACCCCCCTCCCCCTCCCCCCCCCCAAAAAAAAAGAGGGGATATTCCTGCTGATTATGAGAGTTGACAGCTAGAAGGAGATGACTTGTGAAATTCGGAGAATTAGGTGTTTTGCGGAATTTTGCCCTATCAGAATGTTGACAGTTTAAAGTGGTTTGGTGAAAAGTATTGTCAAAGCCTTCTGATTCTCCACAGCAGTGTTGCTGAGAATGTGCCTCTCTCACAAGACAGCAGGTCCCTACAGACAAAAATAGGATGTTTTACCTAGAAAAAATGTATTTTGCACTGTAGGATTTATGAAACATTTGCCTATTTCAGACGCTGACTGGAAAGGAGATTGAGATTGACATTGAACCCACAGACAAGGTGATGTATACCCCCAATTTCTTCCTGTACATTTTCTTGCTTAGTACCCTTACTAGGTATGGTTATGAACTTAGTCCTTTTGTTCTCATGTTGACTGCACAGTCTTTGCTCTTTCCATTGCTATGATTCTAAGCAACCTCTGACTGTTTGTCCCTTTAAAGGTGGAGCGAATCAAGGAGCGTGTGGAAGAAAAAGAGGGAATCCCCCCACAACAGCAGCGACTGATCTACAGTGGCAAACAGATGTGAGTTTAGAAGGAGAATGAGGACATAGCAATCTTAGTGAAGATGAGGTTGGAGATGGATCAGACTTGCCTCTTTTGTGTGTTTGCCATGGACTCTGGCAATTTAGTGAGCCATAGAATCTTCTCAGAATAAGATTTTTTCAAGAATGGAATAAAATACATAGAATCACAAAGCAAACAAGTTATGCTGAAATACAGTTATGAAACATTAAAACAAAATAGTGGTATATGAATTTGAGTGCTTTTTAAAACTAATGCATTAAACATGATCTATTGATGGACTCATAACTGCCAAACTTTTAAAGTATTTTGAAGATACCTGTAAACAGCTGTAATATGAACGAAAATATCTAGTTTTTATTGTTAAGTTATTGATAGTGTTAAAACTGGAGAATTTTGCCATGTTCAAAATTGAAAGAAATATTACATTGAGAGATTTGGGGGTTTTATGTTTTGGTTTTTTAAGATGGAGTATTTTTTCATCCAAGACCTTCCAGAGAGATGTATGAAACCCTGATTAAGAATGTCTGTTTTGGGATGGGAAGGTGGCTCAATGGTAGAGTGCTTGCCTTGCATGCATGAGGCCCTGGGTTCGATTCCTCAGCACCACATAAGCAAAAAGAAAAAAGCTGGAAGTGGTGCTGTGGCTCAAGTGGTAGAGTGCTAGCCCTGAGCTGAAGAGCTGAGGGACAGCACCCAGGCCCACAGTTCAGGCCCCATGACCGGACCAAAAAAAAAGAATGTCTGTTTAGGCTGGGAATATGGCTTAGTGGTAGAATGCTTGCCTAGCATGCATGAAGCCCTGGGTTCAATTCCTCAGTACCACATAAACAGAAAAAGCCAGAAGTGGCACTGTGGCTTAAGTGGTAGAGAACTAACCTTGAGCAAAAGAAGCTCAGGGACAATGCTCAGGCCCTGAGTTCCAGCCCCAGGTCTGGCAAAAAAAAAAAAAAAAGTCCTGTCAAGCACTGGTGGCTCATGCCTATAATCCTAGCTACTCAGGAAGCTGAGATCTGAGGATCAAGGTTCGAAGCCAGCCCAGGCTGAAAAGTTATCATGAAACTCTTATCTCCAATTAACCACCAGAAAACTGCAAGTGGTGCTGTGGCTCCAAGTGGTAGGGTGCTAGCCATGAGCAAAGGATCTCAGGAAGAGTGCCCAGGCTCTGAGTTCAAGCCCCATGACTGACAAAAAAAAAAAGAGAAAGAAACAAAGAATGTCTATTCTAGAAGTACCGGTGTGGCTCAGGTGGTAGAGTGCTACTCTTGAGTACAAAAGCTCAGAGACAGCACCCAGGCTCTGAATTCAAACCCCAGCACTCGCACCAAAAAGGAAAAAAAGAAGCATGAGTAGAACAGAGCAGTACTTTAGTATGGTCTTTGTAGGACTGAGGGCATGGTTTAAGTGGTAAAGCACTTGTCAAGCAAGAATATCTGTTCTAAGCCAGGCTCTGGTGGCTCACACCTTGTAATCCTAGCTCCTCAGGAGGCTGAGACCTAAGGATTATGGTTCAAAGCCAGTCTGAGTAGGAAAGTCCTTACGACTTTTCTCTAATTAACTATTCCCCCCACCCACCCAAAAAAGAGTCCAGAAATAGAGCTGTGGCTCATGTGGTAGAATGCTAGCCTTAAGCACAAAAGCTCAGGGATAGTACCAGGTCTTGAGTTCAAGACCCAGGATGGGCACCGGGGAAAAAAAAAGTCTTTTCTAGATTTCTAATGCTTTTTTCTCCCCCCCTGTAGGAATGATGAGAAGACAGCTGCTGATTACAAGATTTTAGGTGGCTCAGTCCTCCACCTGGTGTTAGCTCTGAGAGGAGGTGTTGGTCATGGACAATGACGGGCCTTCCCACCATTACACCTCCTTACCCTGTCATTGGTAATGAGGTATCACTCTCTGGGACACCAGAGCCCCCTCCCCTTGATGCCCAGTCTTGTGTGTCTACTGATGGGAGAAAGTGAGGACCCCAGGATGCAGTATTTCTGGCTCAAAGGGCCTTTGCTGGCTATTGGATTTAGCTTGTCATCCTGTGTGCTTCCCTCTAATGGTTGTGCCCCTGGTTGTCAATAAAATATTTCCTGGCCTCTTGGAATCGTTCTTCTATCTCCAGATTAAATCAAAATAATTCATACTAACCAGCCACATCAGGCTAAAGGGTGGGAAAATGGGAGGACTGGTGCTGTTACAGAGATTCTCAGATTCCAGGAAAGCCTAACTATTCTCAGTTCTGTGCTGAAGCCAATTCTTGAAAGCTTAAAAGAGCTAGGTACTAACCAAGCGCCAGTTACACCTGTAATCCTAGCTACTCAGGAGGCTGAGATCTGAGGATCACGGTTCAAAGCCAGCCGGAGCAGAAAAGTATGAGACTCATCTCCAATAAGCCACTAGAAAACTGTAAGTGGCGCTATGGCTCAAGCAATAGAGTGCTCACCTTGAGCTGAAGAGCACAGGGACAGCGCCCAAGCTGAGTTCAAACCCCACAACCAACAAAAGAGCAAGGCACTGCCATTCTTCCCAACTGCATAATATGTAATCTCATGTTGATAACTGGAAATCAGCCATGCTAAGAATGTTTTAAGAAATTCACAAACACTATAATCCTTTATACATATGCCATCATAGTACTGATGTGTATGGTATAAATCAGAATAAATCCTCTCCAACTATGACTGCTGGGCATCTGGGCCTGATTGGAGAAACCTCAGGAATTTGTAAGCACGTTGTCTTTTATTTATCCTTGTCCTAGCAGGGTAATATATGTAGACTGGGCTGCAGTTTTTTTTATTTATTTATTTTTTTGGGGGGGTCCCGTTGTGGGGCCTGAACTCTGGGCCTGGGCGCTGTCCCTCAGCTCTTCAGCTCAAGGCTAGCACTCTACCTCTTGAGCCACAGCGCCACTTTCCGGCTTTTTTTTCTTTTTGCTTATGTGGTCCTGAGGAATCGAACCCAGGGCCTCAGGCATGCAAGGCAAGCGCTCTACCACTGAGCCAACTTCCCAGCCCCAGTTTTTTTTAATTTTTATTTATTACCATACTGGAGCTTAAATTTGGGACTCTTGCTCTCAGCTTTATCTGCTAATGGTGGCCTTTTATCCCCTGAACCCAGTCTCTACTTCTGGCTTTTTGCTGGCTAGAGATAAGTCCTTTTCCTACCTTGACTAGCTTTGAACCACCATTCTCAAATCTCAGCTCCTGAGTAGTTAAGATTATAGGAGTAAACCACCAGCATCCAGCTTAGATACTACATTTTTAATGGCTGTAATAATGCTGAAGGCTCTAGGTTCTACACCATAAGAGGCTGATAGAGGCTGGGAAGGTAGCTCAGTGGTAGAGCGCTTGCCTTGCATGCATGAGGCCCTGGGTTCGATTCCTCAGCACCACATAAGCAAAAAGAAAAAAGCCGGAAGTGGCGCTGTGGCTCAAGTGGTAGAGTGCTAACCTTGAGCTGAAAAGCTGAGGGACAGCGCCCAGGCCCAGAGTTCAGGCCCCACGACCACCCTTCCCCTGCCCCCCAAAAAAAGAGGCTGATAGAGGGAGAAAAGCTGTATTGAGGAGTGAAAAATTGATTGGATCATCTACATCTCAAGCTAAAATGAGACCAGTTCTAGAAGAAGCCAGGCTTTTCTGGGCTTCTGTAATGGAAACTGGCAAGCTGGTGTTGTGGAGAAGGGTTGATGCTTGTGGCCAGTGCTTTGGAGCGCCTGTCGTGTTGCACGTCAGACGCGTAGGTTATCTTGATGCAGGCCTTTCCCCAGTGCAACAGCAGATGGCGCCCCGTGTAATTGCCTGGAGCCCGGAGTGGCGACGCTCTAGGCGCCTGGTCTCTGGTGGCAAGCCGGCAACCACTGTGGCGTGGCCGGGCTCTCAGGCTCAGGAGAAAGCTCCAGCTCCGCGCGGCACGTGGGGGCCGGTCATGTCGCGGCTCCCGAAGCTCGCCGTCTTTGATCTGGGTGAGGAATGGGTATGGGGAATTTCACGGGGCGTTCTTTTCCACTCCTAATGGCAACTGAGTCCCTGGGACACAAGACTGGAACTTCCTCCTTCCTCTCGCAGATTACACGCTCTGGCCCTTCTGGGTTGACACGCACGTGGACCCCCCGTTCCACAAAAGCAGGTGAGCCAATAGGGAGGCCTAGGGCCAGAAGGGACCCTGCTGGAGCTGAATGGTCTCTTGCTCCTCTCCAGTGATGGAACTGTACGAGACAGGCGAGGCCAGAACATCCGATTGTACCCGGAGGTAACCGAAGTCCTGGACCAGTTGCAGGGTCTTGGGGTGCCCGTCGCGGCCGCCTCGCGGTAAGAACGATTGACAGCAATCCAGCTAATACTAAAGAACATGTGCCTGACATTTTTCATGTAACCTCTTGGGTACAAAAGTTTAGGAAGTGCAGCTGCAAATACTTGAATGTTTTTCCTAATTGTCCCCATTCTTGTGCCTTTTCGTTACTAAATATTGCCTCTATTGAGGCTGAGGCTACGGAGTTGAATAAAGGTTGAGGATGCCTATCCATCCTGGAAAAACAGCAAATTGATCCCTTTCCCATCCACCCCCCAGTTACATAACTGTGTTTATAGTCTTGGCCCTTAGTTGCCCTAATTCCCTTTCTTACACCTTTTTGCAGGACAGGTGAGATACAAGGGGCCAACCAGCTACTGGAGCTCTTTAACCTTACCAGATACTTCGTGCAGCGTGAAATCTATCCAGGCAGCAAGGTCACACACTTTGAGAGGTAGGCAGAGATAAAAGTGGGGGGCTGGGCAAACCAAGACACTAGCTGGGCTGTTTCATGTCCTGTCTTGCTCAGGTTACAGCAGAAGACTGGAGTTCCTTTCTCCCAGATGATCTTCTTTGATGATGAGAAGCGGAATATTGTAGATGTCAGCCAACTTGGTACTGAGTGGTGAGGGTAGTCATTGGAGAATGAGAAGGGTTCTTAGGAGGGCTTAGTCCTGTGCTTTGATACACCCAAAAGGAGAGGGCAATCACGAGAAGCCCTGGAAACCTGACAAAATGTGATTTCTTTTTCTTCTAGGTGTCACCTGCATTCATATCCAGAATGGAATGAGTCTTCAAACCCTAACTCAAGGGTTAGAGATGTTTGCAAAGGCTCAGGTGGGGCCTTGAGTTTCAGCCCTGTGGATGAAGCCTCATTTGAGGCCTAAAACTGAAGGAAAATCAAGGAAGCATTTTCAGGTGCACTTGTAATTTATTAAAGTGGATCTGTGAGTGAGATGGAATTTTATCCAGAGTGGATTGTTTCTCTTTCTCTCGTGTGTGAACTGGGGTGCCCAGACCCAAGTGGGAGACATTAAACTACTATATAAACTTGTGGCCTCCACAAGATGTGATTTCCTCATGTTAGAATCGATCTACCCTGTAAAGGACATGAAAAACTATGCCACTGCGCTATATAATGGGCTGCCATCACGTTGCACATATCTTTTCCAGGAACAATTACTGTTTGGGTGTTGGGTACTGCCTTTTTAAGCAGCAATGAAGCGGTTGCTTTAAGAAATGCTCCTAAGATTGCGCTAATAGCAGATCACGTGACAGAGCCGAGCTCTTATTTGCGCTTCTTGATGATGTTACCTAGGTATCCTAAGGAGGGATTGGTCGAGACTTGTCTCTAAGTGATGAGATCCACCCTCTTGGGAGCAAAGCGGAAGTGTGGAGCACGCCGTGGGGCCGAGGCGGGAGAGGCGAGGTTGCGATGAGTGGACTCAGCCGACTCTTCGGGAGGGGTGAGCCTGGGCAAAACTGCGCTTCTGAGCGGGGACGGGGAGATCGCAGTAGTCAGCAAGGAAGAGAGACCCAGGCCACAGGCTGCCTTGAAAGCCCTGGCCCATGGCGGAGCCTTGCACATCGTCAGCGCCTTGAGGCCCGCTTGGGCTGGGCGCCTTGCCCCGACCTGCCTGGAACCCGAGGTCCGAGGGGGGCTTGCCAGGGCACCGTGCGGCATCCGTGCTCGTTCCCACTGCACAGGCTTGGGGGTCTAGTTACCAGGAGACCTCACCCAGTCCTTTTCCAAAACATGGGTGCTTGCATTTACTTTGTGGTTGGCAAGAGGGATCTAAAGTGAAGAAAGAATCTTCTTAATGCCCTTTTTGGTGGGGGAAGGAAAGCAAAAGCAGGAAAATTAGGACAGCACATAAGTAGACTCTGGCTATATTATGGTGTGCCAGAGGCTTAGTAGTTTGCGGGTGGAGCAATGAATGAGCAACTCCAGGAAGCAGTTACAGCCTTCAAAAAACAAACTACAGTGTATTTGTGGAAAATAGGAGTTGTGGCTGAAAGGAGATTGGGGAGGGGGGGGGGCGGGAGTGGGGGAATATTACCAAGAGGGAGAGAAAAATGAGATAACGTAAAGGGGCTTTTATGACTCCCCCAAAGTGTTAGGTTTTATGCTATAAGCAATGGAAAGTATGAAGGGTTTTTAAGTAAGTAAAAGTCCTCAGATTTCGTGTTGTAAAGTGGCAGGTCTGGGTGCCAGCAGCTCATGCTTGTAATTGTAGCTACTCAAGAGGGCTGAGATTTGAGGATGGTGATTGAAAGTCAGCATAGATAGGAAAGTTCATGAGAATCTTATCTCCAATTGACCACCAAAAAAGAAAAGAAAAAGCCAAGTGGTAGAGCACTGTCGGGCCACCTTTGAACAAAAAACTGAGGGAGAGCACCTAGGCCCTGATTTCAAGCCCCAGCACTGCCCCCCCCCAAAAAAAACAAAAAACAAAAAAAAAAGGGGGGGGACAATTAGAAGTGTAGAAATTGTGGCTGGATGTGTGTTTCAGGGGTAGAATTCAGACCTGGAGTTAAAACCCCAGGACGCTAAAAACAGTACAGAAAGACCAGGACTGTGGCTTAATGGCAGAATGCTTGCCTAGCATGCATGAAGCCCTGGGTTGGATTCCTCAGTACACATAAAAAAGCTGGAAGTGGTGCTGTGGCTCAAGTGGTAGAGTGCTAGCCTTAAGCAAAAGAAGCTCAAGAATAGTGCCCAGACCCTGAGTTCAAGCCCCAGAACTGGCAGAAAATAACAACTAAAAAAAAAACAGCATATAAGATGGCCTGACAGCCGGGTGCCAGTGGCTCACTCCTGTAATCCTAACCACTCAGAAGGCTGAGATCTGAGGATCATGGTTCAAAGCCAGCCTGGGCAGGAAAGTCCGAGAGACTCTTATCTCCAATTAATCACCAGAAAACCAGAAGTGGTGCTGTGGTTCAAATGGTAGAGTGCTAGCCTTGAGCTGAAGAGCTCAGGGACAGTGCCCAGGACCTGAGTTTAAGCCTGACTACCAAAAAAAAAAAAGGCCTGTCCTGGGATTGGGGAGGGCAGGAGCATCATTGGTAGGAGGAGGGACTAACAATAGAGTGAATGGAGATAAATATGGTGGAAGTAGTTTGAAGTTGTGAAACCAATTGAAATTGTGGACTTTTGTTGTTTCCATACTGGGATTGAACTTCATGCCTGGCAGTCTTGCCTGGCTTTTTCACTCAAGGCTAGCTCTCTACCATTTGCCCCATAGCTTCACTTCTGGCCTTTTGGTGGTTAATTGGAGTCTCATAGATTTATCTGCCCAGGTTGTCTTTAAGCTGCAATCCTCAGATCTCAGCATCCCAAGTAGCTAGGATTACAGGTGTGAGCCAACAGCACCAGGCTAGGATTGTTTAAAGAAGAGTTGGGGAGAGTAACCTTGTTGGAAGGAGTTGATAGGGATACATTGTTTACATAAATCCCTATTTACATTGTTACACATATGTTACAATGGAACTTTTTAACTACAACTAAATACATGCTAATAAGGTCCTCTTAAAAAAAATGGCCTACCATGGTGGTACACATCCAGCACTTCCAGGGTGAGGCAGGAGGATCGTGAATTTAAGGCCAGCCTGAACTACATATCAAAATTCCTGGAAAAAAAGGAAAAAAGAAAGAAACTGAAGCCTCTTTTTTCTTTTACACTTTGTACTTTATTAGTTTGATCATGTGGAGTAAGGACCTCTGGCATCTTTTAGGACACAAACTGTAAAATGTTTTGGAAATGACTTGAAAGGCAGCTTTGATAGGAAAAATAATACTAGCTGTGGAACGGGCTGGAGGCATAGCTCCAGTGATGGAGCATTTGCCTAGCAAGTGTGAGGCCTTAAGTTCATTCCCCAATACTGAAAGGAAAAAAGACAAAACTTTATGCCAAGCACTGGTGGCTCATGCCTGTAATCGCAACAACTCAGAAGGCTGAGATTTAGGGATCAAAGCCAGCCCAGGCAACAAAATATGTGAAACTCTTACCAGAAGTGGAGCTGTGGCTTAAAGTGATAGAGCATTAGCCTTGAGGAAAGCTCAGTGACAGCACCCAGGCTCTGAGGTCAAGCCCCATGACTACCCTCCCCCCCCCCCCAAAAAAAAAATATTGGCTGTAGGAAGTCAGATTGCTAATCAGGGCTTCATGCTTAAAGGCAGGTGTTCTACTCCTTGAATCACACTTATAGCCCATTTTCCTCCTGTTATTTTGGTGATAGGGTCTAGCTTTTTGCTCTGGCCAGCCTTGAGTTTGATCCTCCTGTACATGCTTTCCACCATAACTGGTGTACACCTCCATGCTTTTTTTGGGGGGTGGGGGACCTGGTCATGGGCCTGAACTCTGGGCCTGGGCGCTGTCCCTCAGCTCTTCAGCTCAAGACTAGTGCTCTACCACTTGAGCCACAGCGCCACTTGCGGCTTTTTTTTTCTGCTTATGTGGTGCTAAGGAATTGAACCCAGGGCCTCATGCATGCAAGGCAAGCGCTCTACCACTAAGCCACCTTCCCAGCCCTCCATGGTTTTTTTCTGTTGAGCTTGGGTCTCATCAACTTTGTGCCTAGGTAAGAAAATGTTATCCTCCCAATCTTGGCCTTTCTTAGATCTAAAATGGCAGTAACTACTGTGCCCAGGTCTTGGTTGAGGAAGGGGTCTCATGAATTTTTCACCTAGGCTGGCCTCAAACTGCCACTCATGCTATCTCTGCCTCCTAATTAGCTAAGATTATAGGCTTGACCAATTGGTACCTGGCTTGCCACATTTTTATTATGGCTTAACTTTTACTAGTTATAATTTTATTTTATTTTTTGTGCCAGTCCTAGGCTCAGGGCTTGGTTGTTGTCACTGACCTTCATTTTGCTCAAGACTAGGACTGTACTACTTGAGCCACAGCTTCACTTCCAGCTTTTTTTTTGGTGGGTTAATTGGTGATAAGAGTCTCATGGGCTGGGGCACCAGTGGCTTGTGCCTATAATCCTAGCTACTCAGGAGGCTGAGATTTGAGGATCACTGTTCAAAGCCAGCCCAGGCAGGAAAATCCATGAGACTCTTCTTCAGTTAGCCACCAGAAAACCAAAAGTGGCACTGTGGCTCAAAGATGTAGAGTTCAGGGACAGCATCCAGGCCTAGAGTTCAAGGCCAACAACAACAAAGTCTCATGGACTTTATGCCCCTAGGCTGGCTTGGAACCACAATCTTCCCGAGTAACAAGGATTACAGGCATGAGCCACTGGCGCCAGGCACTAGTTCTGATTTTAGAAAAAAAAAAAGTAAACATCTTTGTGTTTGTTGTCATGTTTAGAGAGTAAAATTGTACATTAATTGTAGAATATCATTTGCTGATTAGCAGTAGCATAGTTCAGGTACCTGGCTGGTACTGTACGCTCGGTGATTGATGGTGATATTTCACCTTTCATACAATATGGGCCTGCTCCACTGCAATCTTCAGGGAAGAAGGAGAAGGAGCCAACCCCAGAAGAAGCAATACAGAAACTGAAGGAGACTGAGAAGATACTGATCAAGAAGCAGGAGTTTCTGGAGCAGAAGATTCAACAGGAGCTACAAACAGCCAAGAAGCATGGAACCAAGAATAAGAGAGGTAAAAAGGGAAAGGCGCTGCTGAGGAGGGCCCAGGTGGGAAGCAGGTACTTCTGACTCTGATGTTTAGGGTATGGGCTGGGTCAGCTGCCCTGCAGGCTTTGCGGAGAAAGAAGAGATTGGAACAGCAGCTGGCACAAACTGATGGGACATTATCCACCCTGGAGTTTCAGCGTGAGGCTATTGAGAATGCCACCACCAATGCAGAAGTGCTCCGTACCATGGAACTTGCTGCTCGAGGCATGAAGAAAGCCTACCAGGACATGTGGGTATGGGGGGAAGGGAGAAGGAGACTCAAACACTAAGAAGGGTGCCTTGCTGCCGAATTTATAACACCCCTTGCATGCCTCTTTCTTCCTGAAAAAAAAGTCCTTTTTTCCAGCTCAGGCATTCTTGGGAGAAAAAATGGTCACTCTTTCTTCAAGAGTCTTTAGGGAAGGAAGTACAACCTGTCCTTTCCAGTGTGGCTCCTTACTATTTCTTAGCTCAGACTTGCCTCTACATTTCCCATCCATGGGCTTAAAGACCACATGGGCTTCATTCCTGGGATGAAAGTCTAAAAAGGGGTTGCCACCAGATTTCTTGGCTCTGTATTTTGTTCTCAGGGACATTGACAAGGTAGATGAACTGATGGCTGACATCACAGAACAACAAGAAGTGGCTCAACAGATCTCAGATGCCATTTCTCGACCCCTGGGCTTTGGAGATGATGTGGATGAGGTGATTGGGTACAAGGGGCCAGGGAATGTCGGAGAAAACATGGGGCTGCTTTCTCCAGAAGTAAGCCGTTAGGGCTGGGAAGATGGCTCAGTGGTAGAGTGCATGCCTTGCAAGCATGAGGCCCTGGGTTCGATTCCTCAGCACCACATAAACAGAAAAAGCCGGAAGTGGCACTGTGGCTCCAGTGGTAGAGCGCTAGCCTTGAGCTGAAGAGCTGAGGGATAGCGCCCAGACCCAGAGTTCAGGCCTCATGACTAGCAAAAAAAAAACAAAAAAAAAAAACAAAAAAAAAAACAGAAGTAAGCCGTTAGAAAAAAATGGGAAGGAACTTCAAAAGGTCTGTTTGGGAGAAGTGCAAACTTCCTTTCTTTGTTGAGAACTGGCTTGTTGTCCAATACCAGGATGAATTGTTGGAAGAGCTAGAGGAGCTGGAACAGGAGGAATTAGCGCGGGAGTTGTTAAACGTGGACAAGGAGGAAGAACCCTCAATCAAGCTGCCCAGTGTACCTTCTACACACCTGCCTGCAGGGCCAGGTACCAAGGGCCGTTTGTTGTCTTGAGGGTGGGACAGATCATTCTTCAGCAGAGAGGGTTGCTGTTGCAGTTGCACAGTTGGTGCATAATGGCATCTGGCTAAAAGGGAGTAGGAATTAAAACCCAGAATTCAGCCTGTGCTTTACTTGATAAGCTACGTACCCTTCTTTGGGGTTGCAGGTACGAGCAAGAGGCCTCTTTCTAATTTGGACAAAGGTGCTATGGGAATGAGCAGCAGCCCCACAGTCAGAAGGCCCACACTTAGGTTCAGGCTCTGGGTGTCAAGAGTAGGGGATGGCTGAAAGTTGGCTGAGGCTTTAACATTCTCTTTCTTTCTTTGGTTATCCTTGCCCCCAAAGCTTCCAAAGTGGATGAAGATGAAGCAGCACTAAAACAGTTGGCTGAATGGGTATCCTAAGGAGTCTGGGCTTGTCTTCCTACTGCTGCCTTCATCGGTCTCTTTTCCTTAAGTGCCAAATGCTGAACTAAAGGAGCATAGCTTTTTGGGGAGGTCATGCTGAAGTGGTGGTATGTTCCTGTGTCAGAAAGGGGCCCATTGCTTCTCCCATCCCTAGCTGAAGTTTCTTGCTGCAAAAGGAATCCTGGCTCCCTTCTCTTTAATAGCAGATACAATTGTTCCCAATAAAATTGGGTGATGGATCCTCAATGTCTTTACTGTTGTATATACATTTGAGATTTCCCCTGGTTTTTACAGCCTTGTTTCAGGTAGTGGACAATAAGAGTAATGAAAGGAAGTTGAAACAAAACAAACGGGCATTTCCCATATCTTAATCTATGTTCTAGACATTTTTTTGTGCCCCAGTACTGGTATGTGCATGCAGACATCCATACACACAAACACGCACAAATATTTACTAGACCTAGTGAACAATATTAAGGATAGAAACATGTTAGGAGTATAGGAATCCAAATATTCAATTGTGAAGGAACAATGCTGCCACTTTGGACTATAGACAGGCTGAGCCATAGTTGAAGTTAACCAACTAAGGCCTTTGCGTCACTCACTGCTTGAACATTTAGACAATGAAAAGATATAAAACAACCATGATACTAAAGCTTCCCCAAACCAGGTTTTAATCTGAGCACCCCTCCCTGCAAGCCATGCCATAATTTCTTGGGGGGGGGATGGGGTGGGTCCTTAAGTTTGAAGCCAGGGCCTGGTTGTTGTCACGGAGCATTTTTGCTCAAGGCTAAACTGCTCTACCACTTCAGCCACAGTGCCACTTCTGGCTTTTTTTGGTAATTAGAGAATCTCATGGTCTTTCTCCTGCCCGGCCTGGCTTCAAATTGTGGTCTTCAGATCTCAGTCTCCTGAGTAGCTAGGATTACAGGTATGAGCCACCAGCATCCAGCTCTATACTTTGAATTTCACTATTGACTTAAGTGTCAAAACAGATTAAAGGCTTTGGACGAAATCTATCTGACCCGCAGCATCTGACCTTCAGCAGTATTACCTGCTAAGACTGCCTTGAGGTAAGAATTTTATTCACTCTTGCTGGTGAAAGTAAATCAAATTAGATTTATTTCTGAATAAAAGATTTTCACCCAAGATCCTCCTGATTTCCTTCTCTCTTGATCCCCTGCCTCAGCCATTTTCAGGTTGTGATCTCCAAGGATAGGTGACGATTAGTGGTATTGGTGGGCTGGCACATGGCCTGGAGGAGCCTAATCTCATGGGTGGGTTGCTCAGACTGGAACCTGAGCACCCAGGGATCCTTGAGGATGTCCAGGACGGTAGCACGCTTGACAGCTGGACGCAGCATCTGGAGGATCAGGTTCTAGGGCAGGGGAAAGAGAGGTTTTGGCTGAGCTTGGCCCCCACTGTACCACACAGGCAATGTGCAGCTGGACCTAAGAAAGGATAGCCTATCATACCACTCTCGTGAATGTGCCCCTGGTTTTATGCTGGAGTCCAGCATTCCCTGCAAGAGAAAGGAAGGGCTCCTTGAAAAGGACCCCTTGTATAATAATCCCCTTCTGGCCTAAAAGGATCAAAGCTAGAACATGCTTATGAAGCTAATACAAGTTTTGGATCCCAGCCGTTTCCCCAATTAGTCTGGGTAGGAGTGTGAAGTGGCTCTGGCATGGCAACAGCCTCTCCTGAGTTGGGAGGTCTAGGTTTGGTATGTATTCTCCCCATGAGTCATCCCTAAGACCTCAGCCCTCCTGGGGGAGCCAGCACCTTGCACTCCTGGGAGACGGCACAGTTAGGTGGGAATGTGACCTCCTTCTGAGTCTCTTTCAGCAGCTTCTTGAGATTGGAGTCATCAAAAGGCAGACGGGCAACCACTAGAGTGTAGAGGATGACGCCCATGCTCCAGGTGTCAGACAGGAAAGGGTTGTAGGGCAAGCCTAGCAAGACCTCCGGGCAGGCATAAGCAAAGCTGCCACAATAGGTCTGACTGAGGTGGGAACAGTTCACTTGACGGTAAGAAGGGCTATTATGCACAGGCTGATTTGAAGGCACCATCTTGGCGAAACCAAAGTCTGATATCTTCACATTCTCCCGCTTGTCCAGCAACAGGTTTTCCAACTTTAAATCCCTACCAGCAGCAGAAAGGCTGGGGGTCAGGCTGGGGAGAGGGCTTTGTATTAGAATGGGAGCTGAAGGGCCAAGGGTCAAAGGCTAGGGATCAGGCAAAGTAGAAAAGTACAAGGCTGTGAGGAAGGAAAGCCACTGGAGTTGTGAGCAGAGCCCACAGCAGAGGATGGCACCTAAGAACCGTTGTAACAAAGTGCTCTACACATAGTAAAAGTGTCTTTGACCAGAGGTTTAAACCAGAATGGATGACTGGGCCTACATATTAGGGTTAAGGGAAGAAAAGGGGGCAGGAAATGGGTAATTGCATAAAAACCCCTTGAAAGCCCAAAGGCCATTCCCTTACCTGTGCACAATACCCTTGCTGTGTAAGTAGGCGATGCCCAAGGTCAGCTGGTTGAACCACTTGCCAGCAAGGGGCTCATTGCAAGCCCCATAGCGCTGGATCCATTCAAGGACATCACCACCCTGTGCCAGCTCCAAAATGATGTACACTCGGGATGTAGTCTCAATGGCCTGATAGAAGTTGATGAGGTACTTGTGCCGCAGGATTTTCATCACCTGATCCCACAAAAGGGAACCATCAAACCAGGCAAGCAACCTTAACTGTGCTGTCAACCTTGTCCTCCTCCCCCATTGCTACTTACTTAGAACTTTGCAACAGAATTGACTCATACTGGTGTGTAGAAAAAGTTTCCCTTTTTCTTTGGAGTGAGGGGACTAGAGGAGAATGAGCTAGGTAGGAACAAGGTTGAATGTACATGAAGGAATTTTCCTAGCTGTTTACATATGTTCATTTTGGCTTCAAAGTTCCTAGCTTCATCTCCTAGCCACACCCTTATAAGAAACCTCAAAAAGCTGACTACTAAGCTCCACTTCTCTCTCCCAGCCCCCTTTTCTGACCTGTATTTCACGAGGCAGGAACTTGTTAAGATATTCATGAGAGGCCTTCTTCTTTGAGATGATCTTGATAGCAACCATGACCTTCTGCTTTGTATAGTAAGCCTCATACACAGTCCCATAGGAGCCGTTGCCAATGACCTTGCCCACCTCATAACCATATTCCTCCATGACAGAGCGATAGACTGGGGCAGTTATTTGTGCTTCTGGGTTATTACCCTTGATCATCTCACTCTTCATCTCACCCTTCACCATCGTGTTGGGCTTGCTGAGAGTCCCTTAAGGCTAGGACACCAAAGTGAGGCTTGTCTTGGAATGCTTGCCTGTATAGTCACATAAGTCTGGGATATTGGGCTCAGCCTTCCACTAAGAACTTGGAGGGAGAAAGAAAAGAACAGTCCCTTTTTGTCTCTACTGGATGTTGTCACTTTTACCTCTTGGTTACAGAACTTTCCTAAAGTCCCAAGTTCTATACACATCATAATATACCTTCTGTCATTACTGTCCACAAAGCCTGAGAATGAGATACAGTTTGACTCACATTCATTCCCAAAGACATGTTCTGCATCTGGAAAGACCCTTGTGGATCTGAATGCAACATTCATTTTAATTAAGCATCTACTTACTATGTGCCAGTGTGTGCTGAACACTAGGATAAATCGATAAGGCCAAAAGAGATTTTTACAATGCAATATGAGAAACATTCTCTACAAAGATTTGTAAGGCGTTGGCATATTCTAACAGCATTTTTGCTTTGCATGATCCTTTCTAGTTTTCTTTTTTTTTTTTGGGTCGGGTCATGGGGCCTGAACTCTGGGCCTGGGCACTGTCCCTCAGCTCTTCAGCTCAAGGCTAACGCTCTACCACTTGAGCCACAGCACCACTTCTGGCTTTTTCTTTTTGCTTATGTGGTGCTGAGGAATCGAACTCAGGGCCTCAGGCATGCAAAGCAAGCGCTCTACCACTGAACTACCTCCCCAGCCCTCTTTCTAGTTTTCTTTCCATCCATTCTTCTGGTCATCCTCCATTAAAGCTTGTCCTTTTTCTCTATATGTGGTACTGGTGCCAGGATTTTGCACATGCTGGGGCCACACTCCCTTGCTTGCACTGGAGTGGTGTGATGATCTATCCTTTTTTTTTGGGGGGGGGGGGTGCCAAGTAATGGGGCCTGAACTCTGGGCCTGGGCACTGTCCCTCAGCTCTTCAGCTCAAGGCTAGCGCTCTACCACTTGAGCCACAGCGCCACTTCCGACTTTTTTCTTTTTGCTTATGTGGTGCTGAGGAATCGAACCTAGGGCCTCTGGCATGCAAGGCATGCGCTCTACCACTGAGCCACCTTCCCAGCCCCTGGTCTATTCTTTCTTAGGTCCAGCTGCTTACTCACTGGTACAATGGGGACAAGCTCAGCCAAGACCTTTCCTGTGCCCTAGAATCTCGTCTTCCAGTTGCTGCGTCCAGCTGTCAAGCATGCTTGACATGCCCCAACTCCTCCCTCTATCCCTAAAGCATATCCCAAAGGTACTGTTACCGGCTTTATTTCCTCTGAATTTCACATCCCCCCTGAGGATCTTACATATTCCACATATCTCTGCTTACTATTCTTAACCTCATCTGCTCTGGGTGCAGTTCCAGATACCATATCCATTTGTTTACTAGACAGGTATGTCTGCCTTTAGGCATCTCAAACTACATCCAAACTGAACTATTTTCTTCTGACTTTTACATTTTACACAGATTGCCCTTAGTTAGGCATCTCAGACTACATCCAAAATTGAATTCTGTTCCTCTGGTATACCAGTTGACCTTAAGATACCCAAACGTTTTTCTAGATCCTTCTCCCTACTTTAATTCCTATACCTAATCAATCCCCAAATCCCTGATTATTTAAACACTACATACCCTGCATACTCATTGCCTCTCCCTATCACTATGTATCATAGTCTGATCTCAAACTCAAAATCGCCTCTGCCTCCTCAATGTTGGGATTACAAGTGTAGGTCACAATGTCCGGCTCATTTTGCTGGTAGCAGTTAACTCAGGGCTTCATTCTTGCTGGGCTTACTCAACTCTTACTACTTGAGCCATACCTCTGGCACCTGTCCTTTTATTTATTTATTTTTGTTTTGTTTTTGTTTCTGATGTTGGTCCTGGGACTTGAACTCAGGACCTGGGTGCTGTCCTTGAGCTTTTTTGCTCTAGGCTAATGCTCTACCACTTGAGCCACAGCTCCACTTATGGCTTTTTTTGGTAGTTAATTGGATCTATAAGTCTGATGGACTTTCCTGCTCCTGGTGGGTTCAAACTGATCCTGAGAACTCAGCTTCCTAAGTGGCTAGGATCACAGATGTAAACCACTGGCATCTGGCCCAGGGGTGAGAAAAGAAAAGAAAAAAGACAAGCTAGAAACTAGGGAAAAATGAAGGGGTAGCATTGTCCCCCAAAAAAAGAAATGTACTCATTACCTGGCTTATGAAATGGTAACCCCTCTGTATAATACCTTAATAATAAATGTATATACATATATCTAAAAAAAAAAACAAGCTAGAAACAGAATAAGGTGTGAACTGGGGGTCTCAGTGGAATGGGAGCACAAGTTTTGGAGGATTGACAGGGTGAGGGCAGGAAAATGACACAGGTTCTTTGAATTTAAAATTTTGGGAGACAGGGAAGGATTTGAAGTTGTATCTTCCATCCTCTCAAACAAAGGAAAATAATCCAAGCAGATTGTGGCATAGGCTGCTGTCAAATTTCCACTACTGAGTCTCAATCCTGCTGTCAAGCTAGTTCAAAAGGTGCTTCCTTCGGCAGCACATATACTAAAATTGGAACAATACAGAGAAGATTAGCATGGCCACTGAGCAAGCATGACACGCGAATTCGTGAAGCATTACATATTTTTAGACTTGGAAAAAATTATATTAAGTGAAGTAAGCCAAGCCCAAAGAAACAGGTCCCATGGTTTTCCTTATTTGTAATAACTAGTATATGTTTGGGACAAGTGGAAAAGGTCAAAAGCTATGTACATATGACCAGATAAGATGAAGTTAAGCGAAATGAACCCCAAGATAGGGACACGAGTGTTTTTTTTTCTTTCTTGCTATTGTTTCTAGCATATTTATAAGGTACCATGTGTTTTTTGTTGTTGCTTTGTATGTTCCTCCCCCATAGTATAACCTGTTTTCACTGTATTTGATGTCGTTGGTATAATTTGGAGAGGGGAAGGGAAAAAAAAAAAAATGTTGACCCATTGTAACAATGAGCTGTACAAGACACTATGTTGAAAAACGAACTTTACAATTTAGGCATGGGGGGGCCGGAGTGTAGTTGTGGAGGTGGGAGGGAAGGGATGGTAGGGAAAAAACAAAGGAAGAGGCAACAATGCTTGATAAGAAATGTACTCATTATCTTGCTCATGTAACTGTAACCCCTCTGTACAGTATGTTCACACACACACAAAATTTATTAAAAACAAAACAAGGGGCTAGGAAGGTGTCTCAGTGGTAGAGCGCTTGCCTTGCATGCATGAGGCCCTGGGTTCGATTCCTCAGCACCACATAAGCAAAAACAATTGGCGCTGTGGCTCAAGTGGTAGAGCGCTAGTTTTGAGCTGAAGAGCTGAGGGACAGCACCCAGGCCCAGAGTTCAGGCCCCACGACTGGACCCCCCCCCAAAAAAGAAAAGATAGTTTAAAAGTTCTATTGAAATTCCTCAATCTAGTAAGACTGTCCAGGGTATACCATGTTTTGTAAAAAGCCCACCCAGTCCTACCCACCTTTTGGTCCTACAAACTTGTCTTGAATGGACAGCTTAACAATACCTCTAGTCTCTCACATATACAAGATATATACCATTTCATTCAAGGAATGTCTACTTAGCTCCATAGTGTATACAAAAACATTGCTGGAGCTGGGTGCCTGTGGCTCACACCTGTAATCCTAGTTACTCAGAAGGCTGAGATCTGAGGATCGCGGTTCAAAGCCAGCCCGGGCAGGAAAGACCCTGAAACTCTTATCTCCAATAAACCACTAGAAAACCAGAAGCGGTCCTGTGGCTCAAGCAGTAGAGCGCTCGCCTTGAGCTAAAGAGCGCAAGCCCAGAATTAAAGCCCCACAACCAACCCAAAAAGAAAAAAATTGCTGGGTCCTGATGATTCAAAGATGGACAGATGTAGACTTGTTAGTCACCAAGAGAAACAAACTTCTAAGTAAAATAACTACAGTGAGATGAAGTGCCATTAACAAACCTGGAAAGAAAGGCAATGGAAGGACTTACAGAGTAGTTAATTGCACTGTTTAAAGGAGGTCTTCCAGTTGAGAAGTAAGGAATAGTATACCAGGTAGACTAGGCAGGAAGAACCATGAAGCTTACAGATAGGAGAGAACACCATGAATGCAGAAAGTTAATATACCTGAAGAAATTAGGACTTAAGTCTGACTAATACTTTACGTCAACTTGTCTTCACTTCCTTTTTTTGCTTGGTCATGGGGTTTGAACTCAGTCTGAGTTTTTTTGTTTCTGTCAGTCATGGGACTTGAACCCAGAGGGGCTGGGTGCTGTCCCTCAGCTCTTCAGCTCAAAGTGAGCCCTCTACCACTTGAGCCACAGTGCCATTTCTGGTTTTCTGGTGGTTAACTGGAGATAAGTCTCATGGACTTACCTGCCCAGGCTTGCTTTGAACCTCGATGCTCAGATCTCAGCCTCCTGAGTAGCTAGGAGCCCGACTTTGTCCCTGAGTTTTTGCTCAAGGCTAGCACTCTAGCACTTTGAGCCACAGCTCCACTTCTGGTTTTCTAGTGCTTAACTGCAGATAAGAGTCTCATAGACTTTCCTCTGGCCTAACAGCAAACCTCAGATCTTAGCTTCCCAAGTAGCTAGGATTGCAGCTGTAAGCCACCAATGCCCAATTTGTCTTCTCTTTATTCTATGTATTTACAGTCAAATGTCCTTATGCATCAAAACTGGAGCCTGTTTAAAAAAAGAAAACAAAAATGCTCAACAACTCTCCCCAAGATTCTAGGTTTTAATAGTCCAGTAGCACTGTGAAATCGATCCAAGGGGCAGGTGACCAAAAAACTAACAAGGTGACTATTATAGATATAAATGGAAAGGAAAATGATGATACCAATATTTTGCCCTCAAATTCAACCACTGAGACTCTTGAATTCTGTATTTAGAGTCTTCCCAATTCTCCCCTCCAAAAAAA